CCAACTGCTGCTACGTAATTTCAATTGTGAAATACTCTGTAATTTTGACAATCAATTATAAACTTATGTGTCCAGACGGAGGAGAAGAGCTTTAGTATGATCATCTGCAACATTAAGTAACATAGAAATTTCTATCTTATGTATATTCTTGGGTTTAGTTATTTTTCGCTTGTTCTTTGCCAAGTAGATATAATTTAATTTTATAAGGATGATGAGGTGATAAAATGTTAAAAACTCCATCAAATTCAATATGATTTAGTTTTTTTTTCTCAATTTAATTAGACTCCTTTGTTTTTCTGAGTATTCAACAGAGAGTAGTTGTCGTTGAAATTTCTTCACTTCTGAGTCTTCTTAAATTATATTCACCATACTTTCTTCGGATGCACCTAATAAATTTTGAGTGGTAAATAGAGTTTTTCATAAACCAAAAGATAAAATAAAAAATATGAAATTTTTTTATTTATTTATTTAGAAGCTTTCAACACTGCTTGTATGATTATCAGTTTCAAAAAAAGATTTTACAATAGAAAATATTTATATAGATTAGAATAAAGCTCAAAGTCCAATGAATCATTATGACTCAAATTTATGCGTATGCAAATATCATTGTATATTTTATCAACACAACAATACGAAATGCAAAGCTGAAGTAAGAAAAGGATAGGTAGGATATATAAAAAACGAAATGCATGTGATGATGAGCACATGAATAAAAAAAAACCATCTATATGATAAAAAAGTCATGCTTCATTGATTCATGTATATATACGTTTGTGGAAAAAAAAACCAAGTAATTTTGTCAGTGATAAGTACAGAATAAAATCGATTACACACACACAAAAAAGCCCGTTACACTTCAGTATCACATAACACGTAAGTATGTATATTTAATTTCTAACATTATTAGAGTAGTAATAAAATTAAAGTTAACAGTAAAGAGTTGCTACAAACAAGAAAAAACGATGGGACATTGACATATGGTATTTTGATGAGTATAAAGTAGTTTTAAGTGAGCTCCGCTTGATGATACTCAGAATATGAAATCGATTGTTTTGTTCGCAGAAACTCGTATGTATAAAAGTCTTATTGTAAACCACGGTACACAGAATAACTTATCATACTCATACATTTCACCGCGAGTAGCAAGAATTGAAGATGTGATTTTTACTTTTAGAAAGATAACATAGCAGTGAATTCAAGAACTTGTATTGGAGTTTTTTCGATGATATAGATGTATGAAAAAAAGCTAATTGAATCTCGATATACTGAATTAAAATCTAGTATTGAAATATAAAAGTAGAAAGTCCTTCCTTATTTATAGAATAGAAGAAGCCTCCTGATTTTTCACAAAAGACAACCTATTCACTCTTCTGTATAAACATCGACCAAAATGACTACAACAATGGAATGAACTCAATCGATTGACATGCTTGTCTTTCTGAATAAAAGCTCTCATGAAAAAAGTATTCAGACCGGTGAAATTGAGTCGATTTTTATTTAATTTTGAATAGTGCTGAGTAAAAACTTTCAACGATTACAGTCGACTAAAATTTCAAAATCTTGTATGTAATGATAATGAGAGACAGAGAAATGATATTCTATTTCGTTACTATTGCAGTATGTATTTTAATGTGATCAATAATAACAAACTGGAAGAGTAGCGTTACTATCACTCTTGATTAGGTATTCGTCATAGTCACAGTACTTCGTCACTTCACTAGTGTCGGCTTCACATAGAACACAAGCTTATATACTAGAAATCAGAAGAAAGGATATAATGAATAGAGGTCAGAATGAGCAGGCAGCTATTATCTTTCATAAGGTCAGGATGTTTGACCGCCTAGTGATCGAATGCTTTCATATCATAGAACCAATAGAAAATGAATGTAAATTATGCTCTTATTATTGACAAACTATGAGCATGATCAAACTTAGAATCGATTGTCATTTGGGTTTTGTTTCACCATAGTATAATGGTGTCAATCTCCATACAACTGACTTCAGCACGATTTTGTTTGATTTTATATACTATTGTACTAATTTATAAACGATAAGGGGAAACAAAACAAAATAGTCTTTTCTGATGTAGAAAAAAGAAGAAAATATCGATTAAAGTCAGATTGTTTCCCATTTTTGTCTTATATGAAAACTATGTGTTCCAAATCTATTCCACTTACTAATATATTTCAATCTTTCTAGCTGTTTCGGTTAGATCTGTCCAGTCTTTTTCTCAAAACAGTCCTAAATGAAGACTAATCAAAGATCTAGTGTGTTCTTGAACTCCGTTCTAAATATGTCATCAACGAGCATTAGCACAAATATATTATCTAGTCTTATTCGAGCGAAAGGCCGACGTAGGGCTACTTTTGTATCGATGAGATATCAAATTATTATCAAAAATGCAGAGCAACTCTGGACGAAGCCTTTTTGAAACGAAGACTAGATAGATTGGTTTGACATGACACGCTATAGTGAGATTCACTAGACTATTTTAACCGAGTCTAAATCTAAGTATATTATGAGATGATAATTGAGTCGTATGACTGAAAACTCAACTTCCACATCTCAATATTTGTTTAAATTTCTATTCTAATACCAATTTACGTGTATAAGCTCAAACGAGACTGTTTTTTTAATTGAAAAATTATTTTCATCACGTTTTACTAAAAATTAATGAATGCGAACAAATACTATGTATAACATATATAAATAATTTTTTAAATTGAAGAGAAAATAATGTATATATGCATCATGATATTATTCTATTTTAAATTAAGTTAATCCTTTTTAAAGTTAGAACTAGAATAAATTCGTACAATCTCAATTTATTCTTAAATTAAATTAATCAGAATCCATATTTAAAGTTAAATGAAATTATGACGGATGAAAAAATATTCATATTATTTTAGGATATGTGTGGGTCTTTTCTTTACTAACACTCACGCACTCATTCATCACTTGTTCTGAACTAGTTTTGATTATCTAGCAAATGAATAAGTACTGGGTGACCAATAATGAATGGCCGTATTTTGCATTTCATATTTTCATCTCTAAATAAGTATCAACAAAAAACAAAATATACCAGAAGATGCAGCTTGAAAAGCTCTACAGTTTACATACGACTGCTTTTCTTACAGTTGCACTTTTTTGCTGTCAAAATCAGCAAAATTCGGAGTGATCAAATTTTGACCGCCCGAAAATTGATCGTAGAAAATTTTGCAGTTTTTGAAAATAATTATAATAAGCTTTACTGCGTAAATTGTAGAACTTTTCACGCTGCATTTTGTGGTATATTTTGTTTTTTGATGATACTTATTCAGAGATGAAAACATAAAATGCAAAGTGCAGCCATTCATCATCGATCACCTGGTATCTGTCTGCTATTTAGACTGTCAAAGCTGACGTCAGTCTATTCGTAAAACATAATGTAGCGTCAGAACACCTATCATGTGTTGAATATAGGTATGCCAGATGTTCGAACCCATCTGTTGTCTGCATATTTTACCCTTTTTCTGTTCTACAGACTGATCTGGACAGGTTATATAGACAAACGAACTAGACATGTCGGGATTCAAGGATCTTCTGGTCTAGTCCAGACGTAGATGCAGGACTTTTCTTGTCAGAATAATTATTCACGACGAGTATTGTCAATATGGCAGACTAGTCATGCCGCCCATCTTTTGCGAGTTTTTTGTTTACTTGACCGTTGTTCTTTGCTTCTGGTCTGCTGTACAGAGACTGCACCTATCCATTATCGTTATTCTGTCAATAGCATTCTTGAAAACAAAAACGATCGAGAGAATAAAGGTCTTTGAAGCCTGTAGCAACAACTCAGAAAAGAAATCGTGTCGACCCAAAAAAAATTAACAATTATATAAATATAGGGGGACGACGTTTCACTAATTGTATTCATTCATTCAGCCACTATGAGCAAACAAAAACCGACAACAACTGTTATCAATGGTGCAGCAATGATACCTACCACCACCACTATCACCAATGCGAACAATCGTGCTGCAGCTGTGCTGCCCCGACCTGTGCGTCGAGTGCTTCAAAATTTCCTGCTGGTATGGCTTGATGCCAATTTGGATGAGTCCAAAGATGATTTCAAGAAATCGCTTCGCCGTCTGCGACGTGTTGTAGCAACCATTGAAACATTTACAGATGCTCAAGAATGTATTAATTTCCTCAATGAAATTAAAAAAGAAAAGGTATTTTTGATTGTATCTGACTCCTTGGGTCAGCAAATAGTACCCAAAATTGAAGAATGGCCACAATTGGAGTCGGTTTATGTACTCTGTCATAACCAAGTGGTCCATGAACAATGGGTCAACAAAATATCCAAAGTAAAGGGTGTACATACCAAAATCAAATCAATTCGTAAGGCCTTACAAATTGATCGTGAAAATTGTGATCGAGATTTGATCTCGATCAGTTTTAATGGCATCGATCCGTCGTTTACGTATACGCAACTATTAAAAGAAGCACTTTTAGAAATCGACGAT